GTGACTGCGTTTCATATATCGCTAAACTGTTGACAATAGACAATGGACCTTTTTGCCCGCAAAATTTCAATATATGACAGCACCTTCTTTTATTCATGCAAATTTGCTGTGATTTTTGCGTGTGCTGTGCTTCATACATTGCAACACTATTGACAATAGACCTTTTTTCCCTGCAAAATTTTGCCAAAGTATATAATGTGTATATATACTACTATACAACTATAATGTGACTGCACCAAACAGAATCTTTTGCGCAAAGACAACTCATTTTCCTTGCAAACATGTCTGTGAGTGTACCGCATACTTTATCCCTTAGTCTTGTTAGATATTTTAAAAGTACAAAGAGTTTTTTTAAAGAAAAAAATATGTGAGGAAGGACTTTTGGAAACCATTGCAGTGAACTCCTCACCATAGTGAATTGTCAAAAAACTATGTCTAATGAAATTCTTGTCTCTTATATGAATGTATATGTTCATTTATTTTGAAGCCAAACAAACTGAGTGAATTATAAATTATTTATTCACAATTTGTGAAGATCACATGCCATGTGTCATAAAAGAGTACAATGTTGTGTAACGGCACTATAAAGATCCCATCAGAACTGATCAACATTAATTTAGGGAGCTTCAGGCACACACCAGTTGGAGAAGTCATCTTCAATAGAAATGAGTTGGTTGAAATGTTTGTTTGTTTTTTCCCAGCTCTTATCTAACTTCATGAACATGGTGTTTGTTCTAACAGAGTAAAGGATCTGACAGCTGTATTCCCACATTGATTTATTAGTAGTCATCATTATGCTAAAGGTGCAGTCACATTTACTATTTTAATGGAATCTGCATGATCAGGATTTTGAGGTGAGATCAAAAAAGTTCCCAGCAAAATTTAGCTCGTGTTGAAGTTGGTCACGCTGACTACGAGAAAGCCGCTTGGTTTGAAAATGACTTCTGTTAAGTGGTGCTTTGTGCATCCATAAGCTATTGACAATCTTTCTGTCTGTGAAATTTTACCAATGCGACAACACCTTAAAGGTGGGGTAAACGATTTTTCAAAAACGCTTTAAGCCCGGCTCACACTGTGCGATTTTGGCCATGATTTGGTGGTCTAAGACAAATTTTAAAAATCCTAAAAGATTCCTATAATCCTAGGCTAAAATCTGTAGTCTTTGATCGCTGGTTTGACATGTTCACCGACAGCCGATTAATGGCCGTTGCGATCAAATTTTACCTCCGACGAACTTCTGGCAGTGTCAGAAGATTTGGCGCACAGTCCTGCAGTGTGACTTCTCCTACGACGAACGTCAAACTGTCTTCGTTTTTCAAGACAAGCCATGTTCAGAATTAATGCTAGAGATTTCTTATAAGCACATAAACTCAGGCGCTCTCATCCTCCGCTCACGGAATTAATATGATATGTTGCCTTTGCTATGATAAACACCAGTTGCGCCGCTGTTTTCATGTGGGTGTGTAGTGCTGCTTGCACTATTCTTCTTAAATATGCCGGTATTGCCGCCATTCATATACTTTTAATGATAGCCAACATTACAGCCCCGCATGCAATGCAGCTCGTAGTCACTGAATGTGTATGGGTTGATAAGGTAAAACTCTGGACAAGTTTTCTTGCGCGCACCCGTTTTTAACGCGGCTTGACTGTCGTCGTACAGTCTGACATTATTGACAACTGAGATCCCACAGTGTGACATGATCATCATGTTTGTACAGTCTGACAAGTACAATCCTAAAGGACTTTTTAAAAATTGCACAGTGTGTGCTCGGCTTTAGAAAACTGATTCGGGCCAGTAGCAAAACAAACTTGTAGCCAATCAGCAGTAAGGGGCGTGTCTACTCATGATGTGGAGGAGAGAACATTCAGTGCACATCACAAGACATTAGCCGAGCCGAGCGACAGAAAGATAGATGGCGGATAAAAAACAAAGGGGGAAACGTCTGCAGAACAAAATAAGGCAAGAAGTAGGACCCGTGTAAATATTGGATCAGCTTTCCAGCGCTGGAGAGAACTCAAGGAGCGGAAGGCCTGCGATCGAACGCCGAGGTTGCTTTGTATCTCCTGGATAGGTGAGTAACACCGTGTCTGTGCCGCAACAGCTAAAGTCTGTCTAGTACACTGGACGCGACAAAGCAACCATTGAAAATCATTTGAAATTTGTGTCAATACGTCACAAATAGAACGCAGCAGCAGTGTCGTGCCGCATCCAGTGTAGACCATAGATATGTACTGTATATACATCTATGGTGTAGACAGCATCACTGATAATAATGAGTTCTCGCGCCGCGCCGAGCCACTCGCGTCCGGTGTAGACACGGTGTAACATTGGTTTTGCTTTGTTTCACAGAACTAATCGTTGCCTGGGTTGCGTACGTATGTGTGGGGCGGAGCTATCAAAATAGGGGCGAGACCCTTTTGGGGTAGGGGCGTGTTTGTTTTGGTGATTTCAAATGTCAACATTGGCTACCAGAAATCGCTTACCCCACCTTTAATGCAAGTTTTCCAATTTTATTGTTCTACGAGTTTCCACGATAAACTGCACATCTTCTGTTCTTTTCATTAGATCTAACACTGAAGAACAAAAAGAGAAAACCAATGGGTATAAGCTGGCTGAGAAAGAAGAAAACATCTCCAAAGTATAACCTCTCAATATCTGATGAAACCTGAGCAAATTATACTTGCAGTCAATCCGCTTTTCCGTCATTCATGTTTCTGTCCTTGGTTCACGGGCCTAGTCGCTAAGAAACCATCTGGTTGCATGCAATATTTAGATCAAAAATGTTCAAGGAACTCTGACTATTTGAGGTATGTTCTTCTTCAACCACATTCTAATCCAACAGGATCCGAAAACCCTATGACACGAAAGGAGAGTAAAAATATGTCGTTTTCATACAGTATGTAATTCACCACATTTGTAAAACCCACCAGTCGACATCAAACCCGGTGCTTTGTGAAGCAGGAACCATCATACAGTAATCTGCCAGGGTGGCTTTCCTTTGCTGTCCACCGGCTTGTGACATCTCTCTGTGCATTGCCAGGCAGACGTGGTGGAAAAATGCAGCTTCTGCCCGAGGCAACGAGGACGTTCTGGTTCAGCATGTGGTGGCCTGAGATGGGTAGTTATGATGTCCCCACCCTGTATTTACTATTGTACTGTTGGACCGATTAGAGTAATGAAAGGGTACGTGCAGAGCCACGCTCTCGGTTCCCACTGAACACACCACAGAACTGGCCTATTGTTCCCCAGCTTGCGTGTAGGTTGACCTTTGACCTCTCGTTGCCTGAGCAATCATGAGACTAAACGCCCATGCAAACCCTGTAAACCGTGCAAATATAATGTACCGGAATGCTCAGGCTTTCCCAGACTGCATAACGACTCGAGTGATTAGCTTTTTTTAGATTTTCAACATCCACCTTCACCTGCTCGTCATTTCCAAGTGATCAACGATCTTGAGTAGCTGTTTGATTTGAGTTCGACTCCACAGGGAAGTTGATTTCTTGGGAGTTTGAGTTGTGTAGCATGAGAGCTAATGGCAAAATAATGAGAAAACTTATGAGTGTGCAATGATCATATGATTTGACTTTGGAGATCTTGAAGCTGTGAATTCTGAATGACATTAAGCAAAAAAAAAAATATATATATATATATATAAAAATCCAGCAGTCACTGAATATTGAAAATATATTGAAATACTCTCCTCCAATGGAAAATGATAATAGAAGGCAGACAGAATATGATTTTGATTTATTTTGCATGTTTGTTGTACACTGCATATATTTGTGATGAGCACTGGGAATTTTGAGGTATTATTTTTCATTATATATTTCCTCATTTTGTGTCTTAAAAATTGTTTTGGTGTAGTCAATCTTTGTGTTGTGATGTTGTTTTGTTTGTGATGCCATTAAATTGACCTGACAAAAGCACAAATTATAGTATTTTTTTGTATTATTTTATATATTTTATTTTATATAATATTTATTAGTATTTTTATTTTATTTATTTATGTTTTTGTAGGCTATAGTATTTTTTATTATGTGAATTGTTGTGTATAAAACTTTTACTACTAAATAATGTACTAAATTTTGACAAAATTTTTACATTTTATATACTTTGGCGTTGAAATTAGTTTAGTCTGCAAACTTAATTTGCAAAGTACATTAAGTAATATCTGATTATATATAATAAATTAGACTATAAATATAATCTCATGGCATTTATGTGTCACAAATAACAATAATTAATATTTTTAAACTTTTTGCATACTATGAAAACCAAAACACAATTTGGAAATAGAATAAAAACATTCGGACAAACAAGAAAACAAGTTCTTAAAAGTTACAGGTTAGGAGTTAAACTCCAAAGCATCTAATGATGTTATGCCAGAAATGAATTTTGTGATTACATCACAAAAACTCAACTAATTTCATACTTGAAGTCTAAAATAATCAGTAAGTCTCCACAAGCTGCGTCTTTTCAAATACTTTATTGTGATGTAAAGTAACAAAAACAGTCATATTAAATTTATAGAAGCAGAAGACAAAAAGACAAACAAATCATAAATTAACAATAAATATAGGTATACCATTTGAGGATTATGAAGTTTTTTTTTATTTTTTTTTTTAGATATTTTTAAAGATATCTGAGCGAATTATAGCGCAAAACTGGTAGGAACATTCATAAACATGCAGGTGAGTTGTGTACATTGTTTACTGTACTGCAACAACATAGTCAAAACAGTCACTTTTGACTCATTATGCCATCATAACGGGGGACTTAATAGCAGATGTCGAACCATCACCTCCTTTTCAATGTTTTGTTAATCACTGTTACACCTGATATAAACTTCATTCATAAATAGTCCAATATATTAATATTATTTAATATTATTATATAAAGGTTTACTAATTACTAATTTTATATATGTTGACTAATTATATTTGGTTTACAATTAGTTAATAATATAATATATTATATATTAATATAATAAGTTAGGTTAGTTTACAAACTGCTATTCTTTACATTAAATTATACTCAATTATATTAAATTACGTTGGCTATAATTCAATAGCATTTATGTGTCCTAAATAACTACTAATGAAATAAGTGCACAAAGTAGGCTACAAAGTACATGAAATTATATCAAATCCAACTAAAACCAAAATACAGTTTGGAAATACACTAAAAACATTTGGACAAAGATATTTCTTGTCTTTGTCTTTGTTTCTTGTCATTACAAGTACACCATAGTATAACTTTTGAACAATTTAGCAGGGGTAAAATGACTGTAGGACAAACGATTTTCACACATTAAATGTTAAGATGGTTTGTGCTCATTTTACTTTTTGATCATCATAGATCTTCACAGTTGTGATCATCATAGTTTCATGATGGACCGTTTAAAATCTGAATTGGGTAAAACAATGCAAGGGTTAAACAGTAAATTCCATAAACAAAAGACATTTGAAAAGTAGCAAAAACAAATCGTGAAGGCACCAAATGTTTCCAAGACAATTGTAATGAGATATTTTTTATATAAATCCACTGTAACTAGAAAAACAAACAAATAAATATTGAATAATATAAAGACCTTGTGCCTTGTACTTTTGAACATAAAACTGAATAAAAACACAAAAGTGACTGAAGGTCATGGTGCTATGTATTTAATCAAGTAGATCCAGATATAGGTAGGTCTCTGTTTGCAGATGACGGTGCTCTCTGAAAAAGGGAAGGAATATTTTATATATTAATAGGAGGATACAAGAGGCAATAAGGAAAGTAGAAGAATGGGCATATGCATGTGGATTTAAATTCTCAGTGGAGAAAAGTAAAACAGTAATTTTCTCTAGGAAGAGGGTTATTCCAGAAGCGAGTTTGAAGATGTATGAGAAATCATTAGAAAGGGTGAAGGTATTTAAGTTTTTAGGTATTTATTTTGATGCCAAACTTTCTTGGGCTGAACATATAAATAAAATAGTTGAGAAATGTCAGAAGGTGTTAAACATCATGAGATGTGTAAGTGGAGTGGAATGGGGGGCAAGTTTTTCTTCATTAAAAACGATCTATGTAGCACTGATCCGGTCTGTATTTGATTATGGTTCTGCCTCAAAAAACCTGTTGGAAAAACTTTGTAAAATTCAAGCTCAAGCGATGAGACAGTGTTGTGGAGCAGTAAAGACTACACCCATTCCAGCTTTACAAGTCTTAGTAGGAGAGATTCCACTAGAAATTAGAAGGAAACAATTAATGGTCAATTACTGGGCTAACCTCCAGGGGCATAAAGATGAACATCCTACAAAAATGGTCTTACAGAACTGTTGGGAACAAAATGAAAGATGTAGAATAAGTTTTGGGTGGAGTAGTAAAATATATGCAGAAGAAATACAAGTAAATAACATCAAGATGAGCCCAACAGTTGTTATTCAGGAATATGAACCATGGGTTTATGTAACACCTCAAGTAGATTTGCATTTGTTGGAGGTTAAAAAAACAGAAAGAGAAATTGACTTGGCATCTGCATTTTCAATGTATACCAGAGTCCAATACCCCTGGCATATACAAGTGTATACAGATGGCTCAAAAGATCCAGAACGTCAAATAACTGGGGCTGCTTTTTTAGTTCAAGACAGTGATGACCAGTGGATCAGTGGAGTAAAGCGAACTTCAAATCATTTGGCAGTTTATACTGTAGAAATGATAGGAATGCTCTTGGCTTTGCAGTGGGTTGAGGAACACAAACCTGAGAATGTTCTAATTTGTCCTGACTCAGTTTCAGTCTTAAAAATCCTACAAATACATTCACGAATTGTTCAAAATGATACATCAATCAGTTTTATATGGGTCCCAGCACACATAGGAATAAGGGGAAATGAAGAAGTGGATAAATTAGCAAAGCAAGCTTTACAGAGAGAAACGATAGAGATACAAGTTCCATTAAGTAAATCAGAGATTAAGGTTTTAATATGGAGTAAAGTGATTAAAGAATGGCAAGTTAAGTGGAACAATGGGGAAAATGGTAGATTCCTTTACAGTTTAATAAACAAAGTAAGTCATAATATAAAGTGTATAGGTAAGTCAAGGAAAGAAGAGGTTATCTTTAACAGAATATTGCTAGGGCACTCAAATTTAAATAGCACTCTTAAAATAACAGGGAAACATCCAAATGGGTTATGTGAACAATGTCATGTTGAAGAAACAATACCTCATGTATTTCTTGAATGTAGCAAGTATGAACAAGAAAGAAGAAAAATGATAGTAGAAATAAGGAAAAATTGAATTCAGGATCTTAATTTGAAGGTTTTAATAAAATGGGCAAGTGAAAAAAATAGTAATGTATTCTTTGATTTTATAAGAGAGACAGGGTTGGTAAATAGAATTTAAAACTCTGTTTCACACTCCGGAGCAGAAGGTGGCGGTAATGCACCTATTTGCGTTGGTGCCAGCCGCCGTTAAAAACCAAGAAGAAGAAG